TATATATATATATAATGATGCAGGGAAGAGATGCATTAAATGCATTAAAGTGAACCTGTTGCATTGGCTTGCATGGACAATGTGCCGGGTTCACAGCATAAACTAAAATAGGTTTAATCACATTGAACTTCATCTTTGCATATGTAATAGAATGTCATCGATTTGCTCATCACACTCCGTAAAACTGAATATTTCACCCTGTAAATCAGGTGGACAGAATGTGGAAGTGTTGATGAAAATGAAAATCACCAGCACTCGATGAATACTTGTAAATTCTTGTTTGTATTTATTTTAAAAGTCGTGTCAGGGCCACGCAGGGTCCCTTCATCAGGGTGACATAGTGACCATTTACTGTATGGTCCTAAACACTGTAAGGAGTGCAGGGGATACATCTGGACACATACTATACAGCCATATCAAAGTGTTTGCATCAGAAGTCCAATTTTTTTTAAAACTGGAAATCTCCTTGACCACAAAAAGTTTGTGCACTAATGAGCAGCTATATAATCCACATAGTAGAGGTGTTGCACAATGTCAGGCTAAGTCTGTGGGTGCCAGCACACAAAACATAATCAGCCTAGATGGATTTCTTGCCCAAACACTACTACTACTGCCCTACAAAATATAACTGGTCCTGGGTGCCAGCAAACTTTGCATCAACTTCAAAAATACACAAGGGTAAAAGTTCATGCTTTAATCACTTGAAAAAAGCAACAGTGAGACCCTCCCCCCTCCCTATTTACTTAAGATATCTATGTTCACCTTCAAGTGACTGCGTGGCCACATTTAAAGCAGCTGAATCAGCTGCAACTATTGTAAATGGGCACCTACAGGTAGTTACCATATACAGTGCCCCTGGAGCCCCACTTCCCCTATTATGCAAAGAACAAGCAGCTCCTGCAGTCCAGAGTTTGGGCCAGCCTCCCCCCAACAATTTATAATTGGCCATTGGAGCAACCAGTTATAGCTGTGGGCCAATGCTGAGGAATGGGCATTTCTTTTTTATCTTGTGTGCATCCTCAATTATCAACTTAATAGAGCACTACAGGACTCAGTTATCCTGGGACACTTCATAATGTACCTACCCATGCAAGCTTTCAATAGCTGCGTCAAAGAGTAAGACGGCAAGCATTGCGTCTCACTGAAGATCTTTATTTTTTATGACATGAATTGGCTAACTGTTCTGGTTAATACACAGTCTGAAAAAGAAAAAAAAAACGATCATGAAAACACTTACCGGAACTTCAATAGTTTCTTGTGCGTCATCCAACATTTGAACCTTGAAGGGGAAGGACTTGCCCTGTGGCGACAGAGGAGGCTTGGCCCCATGTTCCAAGGTGCTGATCCCAGCACTCTCCGGAGCACCTAATCGAGAGGCTGCTGTCTGTTGCTGCTCTATCTCCCCCATGCTCTAGTATTCCACAGCTATTTCCACTGCAAAGAAAACAATGCAACATTAATTGGTAACTAAACTACCGCTTTAATGTATTGCAATTAGAACTGAAAAAAGTTATTTTTTCTTTTTACACAAGAAATATATTTGCGTACTAAAAAAACATGCTGAATGTGGCAGCGCGTGTGATCTAGAAGCCTAGATCTATTTTAGTCTGCAACCCAACTGGTTAGTTTTTTCTGCTCATGTGTCACCTAAAAACATTTATTCATAAACATTACCATTTTCCCCAATAAGAGCCCTTATTGGGGAGATTTCCAATCACTTCCTGATCTGACAGGACATCCAAGAAAATCTAGTACTTGATCAATTTGAAAGATTTTATTATAAAAATACAGAATACCAAATTCTAAGTGTATTCTTCTTGTGGCTTTAAGAACAGAATTAAGCCATATGATTTGATAGTTTAATAAAATTCGTATTGGTTATGAATTTTTATCAGGCACTAAATCATTCTAATACTTCAAATCGATTATTCACTCACTTAAGACCCTTAAACACAGGCGGGAGCAATCAGGTCCGCCTGTCAGTTTTTCAGATGCCGGATGCGTCTGTTTACATATGGTTACCCCGCGACTCCAGCCAGGTCCGGAAAAACAAACAGAACAGAGTTCCATTTCGCCGGACCTGCTCGTGCCAGATCGGGGGCAATCTGATGTAAACAGACATGTCCATTTACATCAGACTCCCCATAGACACATATGGGGTCCAGTAGTTTTAGTTCTTTTCTCTATTACAAGATGGAGGAAAAAACTGGATGTACACGGATGTCACAGTGGTGACATTCCATCTGTACTGTTCTGATCAGGAGAGCATCCGTGCACAGATCCCCTCCTGATCAGCCCTTGTGAAAGGGACCATATTTCCGTTTTGTGCAACTGATGCATTTACATCAACAAAAAAACACCCCAGAAAAGAGGAGACTAAAAAGGTTTTCTAGAAAAATGTGTTTCCGCCGTCACCCAGTGTGAAGCAGTATGAATTACATTGCTACTACAAAAACAAAGAAGGGGTGTGTATGAAGCAAAATTATAGGTATACATGTGGGCTCCAGATGTGGGCTCACACTCGTAATTCAGGATATAAAAACAACATTGTAAACAATAACTTGCATACATAGTATACCCAGTGATGTAATTCGAGAAAGCAAGCTGTGCAGCTTTCATAGAACTACATTCAAACGTTTCAGAACCATTCCAACAACTTAAACATTTTCTCAGCTAGCTTCATATATGTCTAGGATGGTAAAATAAAGATTTATCAGCACTAACCTCAGAAGAAAGCAGCATTATACATACCTGCATGGTTCATACCAGAGCTCCCAAGATTGATCTGATCAACACTCGAGTTGAACAGTGTCCCCTAGTCACTGCTAGACAGAACAGTGGCATAGGGGGTCTCAACTGGAGGCACTGCAGTGACCAGCATGGGACATTCTCTTTCACACAAAGTGTGGAATAAGATCAATGCCAGAAGATCTGCCACTAATCGATTAATCAATAATGAAAATAGTTGTCAACTATTCTCATTATTGATTAGTTGGTTGGATCCCCTCCATGCTGGGAGGAGGGCACAGCAAGCAGTGGGAGGGTGCACTAGCCAGCCTACTATTAGTTATTGCAATTTGAAATAGCCCATAGCAGGATGGCTATTGCACCAGCCCACTACCTGCTGTATTTACATTCAGCTGCCGTCTGCAGAATCTTGCCACTGGCAGCTGCCATACCCTGGCTGAAGCTATTCAAGTGCCATGTGCTTACAATACCATTAAAAAAAAAAAAAAGATGAAAAAGGTGGGGAAAAAGTCATTTTCGACTTGACAAATTCTGCTGCAGGAGGTGCATTGCAGTGCTATTCATTTCATTACAAAGTTCAGAGTCTGTTGGGGCTGCTGATATCACATCCAAGATGGTGGCATCTAGCACCGGTAGCTGCTAGATACCACCGTTTTAATAACAGTGACTATTTAAGAATATTGATACCTACAGCAGCGTTCAGTATCCCCTGCTTCAGCCAAATGCCGAGGTGTTATGACTGGAGAAAACCTTAGTACTTCCCCTCTATATTACTCAAATGCAGCTAATCTGTGCCATTCCCCTGTACCTGCCAGTTACTCAGACTCAACATTACTCAGTTCATCACAATATTGCATCCAACATTTTTCAGAATCTTCTCTTCTTTTTAAATTCCCATACATGCCACCGGGTACTACCCATCCTTGGAAACCTACAGACTGTTACCACACCATGTATTTCAACAACATTACAGACAAGAAGTTAGAAACTTCCAGAAGAGGAGATGGCTATGATGTGCAAGGAGGATAGGGATTGACTAGGGAATTGGCTCTTCCTGGATTGGTCGAATTCTCTAGCAAGTTCAAAGAAACAATGGAAGTGAATAAAACATTTTATGGAAAGGAAAACCACTGCAAGCACTAAAAATACTTGATTTTACGTACTTGCATTTTATTAAAGTGGGTAACAAGGTCTCTTTAAAACTCACCTTTTCAGTGAAACGTACATTCTTACTCACCCCTCCAGTCATTGATCCAGCAGTGCAGCGCTCTCTACTATTTGTCAAACAGTCACCTCCATTCACACATAGCAGTAGCGTTTTCCGCGCGATTTTTCACACGGCAAACCGTGCAAACTTAACATATGCGCAGATTTGGCACGTTTGTGGCTATTACTATAGCCAGAACCTGCGGAATCCGTCATAACATTGTTCTTGTACTATTTTGCGGGACGCACCTCTGCAATTGTCTGAACAACGCACATTGCAATGCATTGTTTTTTACGTTTAGGGCTTATTTGTATAGAAAACTGCTCATGTGTGAATGGACCCTTACTTTGTCTCTTATCTCTCTTCGATATGGATTTAGTTTCTACTGATTGCTACATTTTCTTTAACAACTGTATGTACTGGCCTTTAAAATACTTTGAGGGAAATTTATCAAAACTGGAGCAGGCAAAATCTGGAGCAGCTGCCCATGGCAACCAATCGGCTTCCCTCTTCAGTTAAGCTTTGAAAACGAAAGCGAGAAGCTGATTGGTTTTTGTATGGTCCAGTTTTGATAACTTCCCCTCTTTATGTTTGATCTGTACTACCCATCCTTGGCATGTCTATTACTTTGTATGCTCCCGAGAGATGACTGCTCTATATAACATCAATAACAATTTAAGGTGCTTTGCATGAAACATTTTAAAATGAGTAGAACAGATTTGACTTGAACAGAGCATTTTTTTCCTGTTATGAATCTGTGTAAATGGTTTACATTTACACAGGTTCTTACTAGCACAGTAAAAAATGACCCCACATTGGGTGCTCTTTTTCAGTTTACAGCCAATATCAATACTAGAAAAAAAAGAAGAATTTTCCTTCTGGGTATTAATACACCTATGCAGAACAACATTGACTTATTTCCGGAGGCAAGCCGTCCTAAATAAGACAGACAATCGCTTGAATGTTCTCCTCCTGGATCTCTGCCAATATATCCCTGCACATGCATACATGACTGAATTTAGATTAATTGGAGGCTTGCAGCAAATGAGCCAGCTCAAACAGAATACACAACATACAAATCACTTCTACATGAATAGGATAATCCCTGCAAACTAAAAGATGATCTTTAAACATCACTTTCTTCAAATAATAAAGATGTCATATGTAGCCAACCATATTACCATGGAGCAATTCCTTAAATATTTTTCAGGTATCTGGGGAACTCCTGCTAAAAATGTACAACTATTGGTAGATTTATTGGTGCAATAGCATGCTAAGTAAGTCGTAAGTACATTTTAGGGCTGCAATTCATGATTATTTTCATAAATCGATTAGTTGGCCGATAACTTTTTCAATTAAATCAGATTAAAAATAAATTAAATACCATCTTGTATTTAAAATAAAATACACAAATGCAGTGTTACAAAGTTTACTTCACAATAAAACTGCATACACAATTTTCTGCAATCGCACCGCACTGGAACGCACGGCATTGAGGTACCACGCGTTCCAGTGCAGGATTGCACTGCAGGTGGGAGGTGCATTTGGGTGCCATTGAAGTTTGTGGAACCACAATGCACCTCCCGCAGCAGAATTTGTCAGGCCAAAACCAAAAATGACTTTTTCCCACTTTTTTAACTTTTCTGTTAGGGGCTTTGGGGAAAATGGTGTAAATAAGAGATTGAGGACACAGAGTCCTTTTTTTCTGCAGCCCCAGCACTCAATGAACAGGAAGCACTCAGTACAGAGATAGTACCTGTTTACTATGTCCACAATCATGAATGAACAGGAAGTGATGTAGAGCACTTCCTGTTCATTCAGAATCGGAGACACAGTACCTGAATACTATGTCCTGTTATTTACAAGCATCAGTACTGATCACTTGGTGTTTGTTCTTCACAGGGAAGGATCGGTAAATATTTCACATATTTACCAGTCCTCCTCTCCCCATCCTGACTCTTCCTGGCAGGCACAGCCAATGATCTCTCCTCCCCGCTGGCTGCAGTGGTCCGTGTCCCTACCAATCCTCACTGCCAATACAGACATGGAACAGGCTCTCAGCGGAAGGAGAGCTGCAGAGCCAAATGCGGCAGGGTGGAGGTTTGGAGGAGCTCTCCTAATTGCTGGGTACCAGCTGCAGGTGTCTGTGTTCCCTCCGATCCCGTCAAGGTACAGCAGGGATCTGATAGGCCTGAGCGCAGATCAACTAATCAATATTGAGAATCGTTGACAACGATTCTCATTATCGACAAAATAGATTAGTTGTTTCAGCCCTGGTAAATTTAGCCATACATTGTGAGGTTTATCTTGTTCAAACTCTCGAGTGCCCCATCCAAACTTAAAAGTATGGATGAGGAAATGCCCTGTGGTGGTCTATTGTATTCTGATAGCGGTGAGTGTGCCACTGTCATAATACCGGAACAGCGACTGCAGCTGATTGGCTGTGGTCACTGCTTGGCCAAGGTGTTTCATACCAGCT